ATATATAACTTCACAACCTTAACAGTGACATGGTCTGAATAAAATTTTATTAGAAATACTACATGCTAAGAAAGAAGAGAAAAAAAGGGAGAATTTTGGAAATTAAAATGGTTCAGTCATTTTGAATCTCAAGCTTGTTTACCTAGACCTCTCTAAACCAGATAACTAAGAAGTGCTCTTGCTTTGTCCTTGAAGGTGGCTATACAGAGCAGTTCTAATACAGTTGCTGGCATGTTACTAATAGACCAGTTCCTGTGCCCTTCACATATCTGCCCAAACAGACTCTTTTATCTCACTGGTTTTGTGGTGGTGGTGATGGTGGTGCTGATGGTAGGGTGTGTATGTGTATGTGTGTGTGTGTGTATTTCAAATAGGGTATCATTCTGAAATTTAATTTTTTTTCTTTAAGGTATGATGAATGGGTAAAGGCTGATCGGATAATCTGGCCTTTGGATAAAGGTGGGCCAAAGAAAAAACAAAAGAAGAAAGTTAAGGTACGTTTATCGATTCATATCGTTTGTAGTAGTACAGGAATTATTCAAGTTGTATTCTGTCTTGTCTGTAGGATACTCTTTTAAAGCTGTTTTACATTCATAGTAAAAATGGAAAGGACAGATTTTCCATGTTTTCTTTGTCCCATACATGTATGATCTTCCTCACTGTCAACTCCTTTACTCTTACTGGAATGGCACATTTGTTATCGTTGGTGAACCTGTATTGACACATTATCAATGTCAGCAGCTTACATTAGGGTAATATATACACCAAAGGTATGACATAATTCTGAGTCTGTTGTACCATCTGTGATTTGGATCATCATATGATGATATTTATCCATCATTATAATCATATAGAGGAGTTCATTACCCTGAAAATCCAGTATGCACAACCAATTCCTCCTCCCACCTCCACTCCAGTCACTGACAACCACTGATCTTTTTGCTGTATCCATAAATTTACCTTTTCTAGAATGTCGTGTGGATACATGCAGAATATAGCCTTTTCAGCCATCTCTCCAGCCCCCAGACTAGCTTCTTAAACTTAGTGATACGTATAGAGATTTTTGTTTGTTTGTTTGTTTGTTTTGTTTGTTTTGAGACAGGGTCTCCCTGTAGCTCCAGCTGTCCTGGAATTTACCAGGTAGACCAGGTTGGCCTCAAACTCACAGAGATCTGCCTGCCTCTGCCTCCCAAGTCGGGGGACTACAGGCGTGTACCACCATGCCCTAAAGTTAAGAGATTTTAAGCAAATCTTGTTTTTCCATTTGTAAGTCATCTTATCCTTTTGTTTTGTTTTGTTGTTTTGTCTTGTTTTTTGAGACAGGGTCTACTTGTAGCCCCAGCTGGACTGGAACCCATTGTGTAGACAAGGCTGGCCTTGACAGTGCTTAGATCCACCTGCCCCTGCCTTCTTAGTGCTGGGATTACCCCCTGCCCCTGCCTTCTTAGTGCTGGGATTAAAGCCATGCACCCCCATGCCTGGCCCATCTTTCCTTTTTTTTTTTTTTTGGTCTTTTTGAGTTAGGGTATTCCTATAGCTCCAGCTATATAGACCAGGCTGGCCTCAAACTCACAGAGATCCACCTGCCTCTGCCTCTGGAGTGCTGGGACTAAAGGCAGGCGTCACTGCGCCCAGCCCATCTTATCTTTATAAAGATAATTTTAAGTAATTTTTCCTTTTATATCCTAAGAGCTAAAAAAATGAAAGTTTCAAACATAGTAGCACATTGATAGGAAAGTGAAAACTGGCAATCACCAGGGCATGAGTTTCAAACCCAAATGCCCAGAGAGCCTTTTAGGAAAAGGAGGAGGACTGAAAGTAGAAGGAAGCGGATATGTTTTCATCCAAAGGAGGAAATAACTACTGTTGTGGGAGGTGCTGACCCATTGTTGCCAGATTTGGGGAGTGGTTTTCAGGACCACTGTGTTTTTAAAAATGTAAAACACAATTTTTAAAAAGCCAGAAGCTAATATTAAAAATGTAAAGCTTGTCCGTGCATGGTGGTGCACACCTGTGGTCCCAGCACTTGGGAGGCAGAGGCAGAGGCAGGCGGATCTCTGTGAGTTCAAGGTCAGCCTGGTCTACATAGTGAGTACCAGGCCAGCTGGGACTACTGGGAGACCCACAACAACAACAACAAAAAGAACACCACCACCACCAAAGAGTAAAGCTTGTCCGCTGATCAGCTGTGCACTTACCTACACCTTCACTCTTCAGTCCTGCTGCAGATGTCTGCCTGGTGTTTTGTCCGCTTTTGATGTCTTTCATTTCCTGGGCAGGTAATGCAGAACAGGGGATGAGGGGAGTGTTGAGTACATCTCTTCACTCACTGGCTTTGACCAGTAGAAAATAATCGCAATGCTGCACATTTTAGATTATCATGTTCATATAAATAGGTTAGAAGCCTGTTGTAGATTCTTCTGTAAGCACAAATTAGGAGTTGACATTTAAAATAACTAATCTTTTGTTTTTCAGTTACAGTTCTTCTTGAAGAAATATAGTGTTGGTTTTTCATAAGGCTTTAGCCCTTTTCATGTATTTTGTTGTGGTTTCCCAGAATAAAGAAGATAGTGAGAAGGACGAAAAGAGGGATGAAGAGAGGCAGAAGTCAAAACGGGGACGACCTCCTTTAAAATCGACGCTTTCAGCAAATATGCCATTCAGTTTATCTAAGACCTCGAACAGTGAAGGAAAATCAGGTACCAGAAATTCTCATGGCTGTATGACAGATAGCTCACCTCTGTCATATGGAATGGAAGGTGCTTGATTTTGAAGACTGCTGATTCTAGAAAAATTCTATATGCTCATATGCATGCATAGGCATCAGTTAACAGTGGGGACACACTCTGAGACATGCATCATTGCTGTGCAGATGTCATGGAGCTTACACAAACTAAGGGGCTACAGCGTCAGTAAGTGTTAAGAAATTATAGGACCACAGTCAAATTCATCCATCATTGGCCAAAATATAGCTGTGTGGCACATGACTTAATAAAACTTCTACTTTGTAAGAATCATAGCAGATCATCTAGGTTTTTAATCTAACATGATTTAAACTACAAAATTTAATTGGAAACTAATACTTATTTTGGTGTGTAGTTTTATTTAAAATCTAGTGATATCTTTTGTTGTTGTTGTTTTGGAGACAGGGTCTCCTTGTAGCCCCAGCTGGCCTGGAACTTGATATGTAGACCAGGATGGCCTGGATCTCAGAGAGCTCCATATGCCTCTGCCTCCCAAGTGCTGGGATTAAAGGCATGTGCCACCCTACCTGGCTAAAACCTAGTGATATCTTAACCTAGAATACCATTTCTCATAAATATTTTACGTATATTCAGTTTAATCCTAGACAAATTAAATCCATGAATCCTGCTGTATGCCCCACTGCTTCAGACCACGTAGAGCACCAGCTTCTTCTACAACTTTAGCATCTATCATCTTTCAGCAAAGCTGACCTTCAGAGAGCACAAATTAATGGGGATAGGTATACTTTGTGATATGTGTGTATTTGATCTTTCTCCTCGTTTTTCTGTCTACATAAATTTTTTCAATGGCTGTCTTACAAAATTACCCTCCATCAGTAGATAAGCTCTACAGTGCGGTGTGGAGATTATTCAAGGGGATTTTTCCTCTTACCGCCATCTGCTGGAAGGTTATCATAATACACAACTCCAAGGTTTTTGCAAAGTGAATGCTTTCTTTAGGCCCCTTTCCTTGTGCAGTGTACTGCCTACACTAGTAACCACATCACTCTTACTATGACTGCATTGAAATTTGTTTGAACATGAGAAAAGTGAATTCTACATCCTTTTATCAAAGCCACACAAAATATTATAGACCTTTTCACATAAAAAATACATTCATGGAGCCATAGAGATGGCTCAGCAGTTAAGAATACTTGCTGCTCAAGCCAGGTGTTTAATCTCAGCACTCAGGAGGCAGAGGCAGGGGGATCTCTATGAGTTCAAGGCCAGCCTAGTCTACATAGTAAGTTCAAGGCCAGCTAGGGCTACAGCAGGGGAGACCCTATCTCAGAAAGACCAAAAAACAACCCCCCCCCCCCAAAAAAAACAACAACACTGCTGCTCTTACAGAAGACCTAGTAAGACTTAGTGTGGTTCCCAGCACTTAACATGGTAACTCTCAATTGTCCGGAACTTTAGCTGCAGGAGATCCGAGGCCTTTTCTAGCTTCTTCTAGTATCAGGTGTGCATGTAAGACACATACACATATGCAGGTAAACACTCATAAAATAAAAGTAAATCATAAAAAACAACATTCAAGTTGGGTATGTTGGTCCACACCTTTAATCTCAGTATTTGGGAGATAGCGGTGGAGGGATCTCTGTGAGGGATCCTGGTCTGCATAGTAGATTCCAGGCCAGCTAGGGCTACATAGACCCTGTCTTTAAATAATTAAAAAAAAATACATTCAGTGTTTGTCTTTTTGAAATTCTTTAAGATATAAGCCCCATATGAGCATAATTTTTTACATCTTATAATTCATATACAGTTAGAATACTCCTTATTATTTGAAAAATTCTCAACATAAAATGAATAATTGCTTTTGTAAGCAGGCGGCTTGCCTGTACTTTCTTGTCTGTTCATAAGAATAAAATTTTGAGAATTCATATTGTTCATTTTAAACATGTCTCCTTTCCAGAATGATTTTAAGTGGAATGTCATATTCCCTTTTTAGGACGCAAAATGGTTAGTTTGTGTGCTGGTTTCTACGCAGTCTTAGGTCAAGTAATTTAACATACTAACTTTGTAACTCCACTTCTTTAATTTTTAAATGCTAATTATAACCTAAATATGATGCTTATGAGTATAACTCTTTATACAGAATTGAGATAGTAATATGCTATTTATTTTCACCCTTTATTTATTTATTTATTTGTGTGTGTGTGTGTATGCATAGATGTATTTGTGTTGGGGGACACACATACACATGTGTGTAGAAGCTAGAGGACAACTTTGGGTAGTGTTCCTCTGGAGCTGTTGACCTTGTGATTTTTCTTTTATTACATTTCTTTGGGGGAGGGGCACACTCATGTCACAGTGCACTTGTGGAGGTCAAAGGACAACTTACAGGAGTCAATTCTCTCCTTTGACCATGTGGTCTATGAAATTGATCTTAGGTCATCAGGTTTGGTGGCAAGCGCCTTTACTGTCATCTTGCTGGCCCTGTCCACGATCTCTTTTGAGACAGGGTCTCATTGGGGCTCACTGATTTGGCTAGGTTGGCCGGCTAGCCTAACACTCCAAGGGACCTGCCTGGCTCCCAAACTCTGGTATTATAAACACGCACCATGCTCAGCTTTTCTCCATGGATTCTGAGCATTGAACTCAGGCCCATGCTTATAGAAAGCATTTATTTGACTGACTAAGCTATCTGCTCAGTCCTAGTTGCACATACTTTAATTTTAGTTCCTTCCCCTTAAATTTTTAGCACAAATGTTATGATTTTCTTTATATAGGAAATTTCTATATAGAGATGAAGAATTTTGTTTATATTTAGTAGGATTTTTATTGTATTGATAATTATGATACAAATCTACATAATATCCTATTTCCTCTTACAGACACTTGTTCATCTGATAGTGAGACAGAGGACCTTTTGGAAAAGAGTTTGACAAATGAAGAACTTTCTCCTGATATTAAAGAAGAATTAGAAAAAAATGAAAATTTAAATGATGATAAACTAGATGAAGACAATCCAAAGATTGTACATATGTTAAAAGAAAACGACAGGACTCAAATGCAGCCCTTAGAAGCTCTGAAGCTAGAGGTCGAAGAGGATGAACAAATAGTCCATATTTTTGGAAGCAAAATGGAACAAGTAGACGAAGCTAAGAAAGAGGAAGAAAAATCTCCTAAAGGAAAGGGAAGGCGGAGCAAGACAAAAGATCTTTCTTTAGAAATTATAAAGATTTCATCATTTAGCCAGGATGAAGCAGGAAGCGAACCTCATTTGGAAGTTCATAATCTTGAACTTAATTCATTAGATAGTAAGAACTTTTCTTCTACTGAAGATGAAATCGACCAGTATGGAAAAGAAAAAAAGTTGAAACGGAAAATGCTGGGACAGTCATCACCAGAGAAAAAACTAAGAATTGAGAATGGGATGGAAACAGCCACTGGTGTGCCTCAGGAAAGGACCGGGGACTGCAGTGGAGGCGAGGGAACGAAGAACTCAGATTTCGAACAGCACTTTGAAACAGAAAATGAAGGAATGCCATCACTAACAGCAGAGGCAAAACAGTGTATCCAAGAGTTGACTAGTGAAAAACTGGACAGTCCAGTTGATGAACCTGTAAATACTCCACTCAAAGAAGAAGAGGACGTGATGTCTCTGATTGGGCCTGAAACCTTGGTTTGCCATGAGGTAGACTTGGATGATTTGGATGAAAAGGATAAGACCAGTGTTGAGGATGTGGTAGTTGAAAGCTCCGAGTCTACCTCTCTCGTTTCTATTCCGCCTGCCCTACCTCCTGTAGTCCAGCATGCCTTTCCAGTAGCTTCCCCACTTACTCTCAGTCAAGATGAGTCTCGAAGTGTAAAAAGTGAGAGCGATGTAACGATTGAAGTTGATAGTATTGCTGAAGAATCGCAAGAAGGCCTCTGTGAAAGGGAATCAGCAAATGGGTTTGAAGCCAGCGTTACCCCTGGTACCTGTAGTATAATTGTACAAGAGAGAGAGAGCAGAGACAAGGGTAAGAGTTTTAGGGAAAAATTACCTTTACATTAAAAATCACAATTCAGGTCCTGTAACTGCTGTCTTTAAAAAAAAAAAAAAACAAATAATATAGACAAGTGAGTAGACATACCTGCTGTAATTCAGCCCTTTATTTGGTTTTCAGGATTTCTCTTTTTCTTTATTTCAGGTCAAAAAAGGCCAAGCGATGGAAACGGTGGATTAATGGCAAAAAAGCAAAAGCGTACCCCAAAGCGAACAAGCACTATAGCCAAAACTGAGAAGAATGGAGCGGGTTGGTGCCTCTTTCTTTCTCGCTCCCCCCCCCATCCCTCCCTCCCTCCTGTCCTTCCTTCTTTTGAAACAGGGTCTTCCTGTAGCCCCTGCTGGCCTGGAACTCAAAGAGATTCGCCTACCTCTGCCTAGAATTAAAGGCGTGAGCCACCACCCCTAGCTTAGCTTGGTGCTTTTCAAGCCTGGCTTGTACACAGCACTATGGATTTATTTCAGCAGTTTTTTGGCTTGATCGTTTGGGTCTGTTTAAAATAAGTAGAATTTATTATGTTCTGAAAATAATCACTTTTCCATTAACTTTTTCTTAAATCATTACTGTGTGTGTATGTATATAGGATATATGTGTGAGTGCGAGCTTGTATGTCTGTGTCTGTGATGTGTATGTGCATGAATGTAGGCATACTTGTGCCACAGAGTGCATGTGGAGGTCAGAAGACAATTTTGTGGAGTCAGTTCTCTCCTTCCACTTTTACTGGGTTCCAGGGATCACACTCAGTTCCTTGGGCTTGCTGAACAAGCACTCTTCCCTGCTAAGTCATATAGACAGTTAATTTTAATCTGAAGGTGCATATCAGTTTTTCTTAGAACTGGGATACCTATAATTATTACTTAGGGAAAGGAGTTGAATATTATAGAGACATATTTCAGAATCTGGAATTTAAAAAAAAATACAAAACATTTGCTATGGTGTTAAAAGTGGATAAAATTTACATCTCTACAGGGAATGTTTTTCTTCAGCTAAAATAACTGATGTATAAATAAATAGTATGGAAATCTTAGAGAAGTAATGTCAATTCTTACAAAACAAGTGAAAAATAAGTATGAATAAATTAGATTATATGAAAAACATTTCTGTATGATGAATAAAATTAAATAGTAGAAGATAATAGAAAACGTATGATTAATTTTGAAAGCATTTTGTTGTTAGTACATGCCTTCGTACAAGTCTGAAAGGGAAATTCTAGATTACAATAGCCACATGTTCCAACAAAAAGAACATATGATTCATACAGGATAAGAGACACTTCAAAGGACTAAGAATTGTGTTCCAGGTTTTCAGAAGTCAGAGAGTACAGTTAGTATCTAAGGAAAAGAGATTGATTAGGAATTGCAAAAGGGATATCAATATTTTAGAGCTCATAGGTCTGGAAGATATCACTGTGATCACAGTGAACCCTGCCATTGCTGGGCATGGTAGCTCATGCTTAATCCTAGGATTCAGAGGCTAAAGCAGGGGGATTGCAAGTTTGAGACCAGCCTGGCCTACATAGTAAAACTCTTGTCAGTAAGTCAGTCAATAAAATTAAGTGAACATCATCATTAATGGAAGAAATTAAAATCATGTACCATTGGGCAGAAATGCAGCAAGAATACCTGAGATACTCCCATCAAAGATGCATAACATTGCCGGACATGGTGGCGCATGCCTTTAATCCCAGCACTCGGGAGGCAGAGGCAGGTGGATCTCTGTGAGTTCAAGGCCAGCCTGGTCTACACAGTGAGTTCCAGGACAGCTGAGGCTACAGGGAGACCCTGTCTCAAAAAGACAAAAATAATAATAATAATAATAAAAGATGCATAACATGAATCTAAGCATGAGGACCCACCAACAAGCTCAACCTGGAGGATATTCTGTAAAATAATTGGCTTGTAATACTCAGAATTATCAAGGTCATGAACACCATGGGAAGAAAAATGTTCTGGATTGAAAGAGACCTAACAGACCACTAAATGAAATACATGCTTCTCACCTGAATCCTGTTGCTGTAAAGCGTACTGTTAGATCAAGTGGAAGTCAGGATTAGATGACACTAATACATCTGTGTGGTTTCCTGATGTTGGTAACTGTATAATGGTTCTGTAGGAGGATATTGGTTTAAAAAGCATATCTACAAATTAATTGATTTTTTTTCCCCCTTTAAGAAGTGAAACCTAACTTTCCTCCCCTTGAGTGGGATGAAGTCAGTGACTCATTCCTAACAAAGTATAGTGATAGTGTGTTACAGAGGTGGTTATTATTAACCATCAACTTGACTTCTTTTTAGAATCACCCATGAGATAAGCCTCTGTACACACCTGTGGCAGATGATCTACATTAGGTTAGCTACAGACAGGCCTATTGGAACATTATCTTTGTTAGGTTAATTGAGATAGGAAGACCCGCTTACTGTGAGCGGCACCATTCCATGGGCTGGAATTCAGGACTGTATAAAAAGCAGTGAGCTGAGCAGAAGCATTCATCCCTACCTGCTTCTTGACTATGGGTACAGTGTGACCAGTGCCCCAAGTCCCCTACTGCTATGACTTCCCCACGGTGATGGGCTGTAACCTTGAACTGTGAGCCAAAATAAACCCTTTCTCCCTCAAATTGTCTTTGTCAGGGTATTTTATCACAGCAACAGGAAAAGTAGCTGAGACAGAAACTTTGGAGAATAGATGATAAAAGGCCTTGCAAATTCCTTCTTGATCTTCCTTGAATCACGTGCTCTGGGAGAAAGTAGCTGCCATATGATGAGGATATTCATGTAATCTGTGGAGTAGCCCATGTGCTGAGGAACTGTACGCATTTTGCTAATGGCAGTGAGCCATTCTGCAAGCAGATCCTCCAGCTTCTGCCATGTCAAAGCCCTGGCCAAAAGTTCAAGTGCAAACCTCCAGGATTCCTGAGACAGGTTATCCAGTCAAGCTGCTTCAAGATTCTGACCCTCAGAAACTATGTGAGATCCTAAACATTTGTTTGAAAAACCAATAGGTTTAGGGCTAACTTGTAATGCAGTAGGTTAATAACATATTGAGAATTGTTTTGATTGTAAGAAATGTCTCATACTAAAGTATTTTGTGTATCAGGGCAACTACCCTTAAATGGGTTAGAAAAAAATTCTGGTGGTGTTTTCACAGTTTGGGTTTTTTGTTGTTGTTTTTGTTTGTTTTTGAGACAGGGTCTCTCTAGCCCTAGCTGGCTTAGAACTAACTCACTTTGTAGACCAGTCTGAGATCTGCCTGCTTCTACTTCCTGAGTGCTAGAACTAAAGACATGCAACACCACACCCAGCCACAACCTTGTATTTTGATAGTCTCTTACTGGTATTTAGGGCTCACTAATTTGCCTAAGCAGGCCAGTTAGCCCCAGGCAAGTGGTTCTTTGTGAGTTTGAGGCCAGATGGTCTACTAAAGAGTTCCAGACCACCTGGGGCTACAGAGAGACCCTGTCTCAACAAAACAAAACAAATCAAAACACAAGCTACAGGGATAACTCCTTGGGACTAATACCTGAGGTTGATTGACCTCTGGCCTACACATGCGTACACAGCATCTTACGTATATATACAAATACACATGAAAAAGAAAACAAAAGATCAAGAGTAGAATTATGTGAAATAAGCCCTTAGATGGAGTGGCGAAAGAGTGGAAATTAGTAGACAGTAGCAGGCAGGCAGATCTCTGTGAGATAGTGAGTTCCAGACCAGCTGAAGCTACAGGGATACCCTATCTCAAAAAAGACCAAAAAAAGAAAAGGAAATTGGAGTGACCAAAGATTTCTGTCAAGAAATTTGACCCTGAAAAGGGGAATTTCTTTCTTTTCCCTCTTCTCATCCCTATTTAAAATTAAATTTTAAAATATTTTATTTTATGTATATTAGTGTTTTGCCTGAATGTATAAAAGTGCACCACATGCATGCAAGGCCCAGGGGGGCCAAAAGAGGGTGTGGGATCCCCTGGAACGAGGGTTACAGATGGCAGTAAGCCGCTATATAGGTATTGGGAACCAAATCTGGGTCCTCTACAAGAGCAGTCGGTGTTCTTAACCACTAAGCCATCTCTCTAGCACCTGTTCTCTCTCTTTAAGTGTGGGACAGATGTAAGCATATTGGTAGACTCTGGAAATGGAAAAGTTTGACCATTAAGAATACAGGTAGTTAACAGAGATATTCCAGCCAGGAGTAGATAGTTACCAAGCATAGCCAAGACATTTGTTTCAAAGCAAATTCCTTTTTGTTGTTGTTGTTGTTGTTGTCTTTTTGAGACAGGGTCCCCCTGTAGCCCCAGCTGTCCTGGCACTCCTTACGTAGACCAGGCTGGCCTTGAACTCACAGAGATCCGCCTGCCTCTGCCTCGGAGAGCTGGGATTAAAGGTGTGTGCCACCACACCTGGCCTCAAAGCAAATTCCTTTCATGAGGACAAGCAATAATAACCTGACCATAATCAACGAAAAGTTAATAAGGGGCCAGTGAGATGGTGCCAAGGGTCAGGGACTTACTGTGCAAGGCTGACAACCTGAGTTTCATCCCTAGAACCCACATAAGGTAGTAGGAGAAAGCTGACTCCACAGAGTTGTCCCCTGACTTCCACAAATGCTCTGTGGCACACATGCATCCCCTCCCTGCACATACCCAATAATAATAATTTTTTTTAATTAATAAAGACAGACACAGATAAGAAAGTGGCTGGGAAACTGAACATGTACTCTTTGGCTTTTGAAGGTAAAGATAGGGTGAAGTTAAGGTATATGTCTTGGAAGAAGAGAAAAATGAAATTGAAAATTCCAGTTTGTTGTTATGGGAAAACCAGAATATCTCTCAGGATGAGATGGCGAGGAGGGAGGCAGAGTTCGAAATAAGTATCTCCTCACATTTTGCGAATACATGTGTTAAAATTTGAGTATGGGCCTATAATCCACATACCTATAATCCTAGCACACAGGCGGCTAAGGCAGGAGGAGTTCTGTTTTTAGACTAAGTTTTGGCTAGCCTGGGTTATATAGTGAGTTTGAGGCCAATTTGGGCTACATGTCAAGACTGTATGTCTCGAAAATAAATGAGGAAGGAAAGAAAGAAGAAAAGAGGCTGGAGAGATGGCTCAGTACTTAAGAGCACTGGATGCTCTTGTGGAGGAACTGGGTTTGGTTCCCAGCACCCATATGGCTGCTAACAACCAGTCTGAACTCCAGCTCCATGGGATCCAATGCCCTTATTTGTTCTCTGCTGATATTACTATTGTTGTTAGAGACTGTAGTGCATTCTTCTTCTTCTAGTTACATTTGTTTATTTGTGTTGGGGGGGTGGGTATGCACATGCCACGGCTCACACGTGCAGGTCAGAAGACAACTTGCAGAGGTTGGTTTTCTCCTTTCACCATGTGGGTCCTGAGAACAAACTCAGGTCATCAGGCTTGGCAGCAGGTGCCCTTACCTGCTGAGCCACCTTTAGCCCTTGAACCATCTCTCTAGCTCCCAAAAGTGTTATTTATATTTTTAGTGTGTGATTGTGTGTGCATGTATGCATATACATGTCTGTGGGGAGTGGACTTCCATGTGTGGGTGGAGTCGATCTCATGCCTGGCTTTTGTGTAGGTGCTGGGGTCAAACTCAGGTCTTCATGTTTGAACAGCAAATACTTTACTGGGTCATCCCTGTATCTAGAAGTATTTGGCATTTAAATTTTTTTTATTTATTTATTTTTATTTTTTTGTATACGAATGCATTGCCTGCACTTATGTAAAGTGCACCCATGTTATACAGTGCCCTCAGAGGACAGAAGAGGGTGTCGAATCCCCTGGAACTGGAGTTACAAACAGTCCTGTGCAAGAACAGCCAGTGCTCTTAACTGCTGAGCCATCTCTAGCCTCATATATCATTTTTAACCCATCTTCTATTGGTGTACATACAATCTCCCTCCTTTTTTTCTTTTGTAAATTTGGTGCATTTATATGTATTTTTTGCTTGTATGATACCAAGAAGTGTAATTCCTTCTGTTGCGTTTTCATATTGAGGGTTTTCTTATTTCTTTTTTTTTTTTTTTTGGTGTTTTTGAGATAGGATCTCCCTGTACCCCAGCCGACCTAGAACTCGCTATGTAGACCAGGCTGGCCTCGAACTCACAGAGATCCGCCTGCCTCTGCCTCCTGAGTGCTGAGATTAAAGGCATGCACCACCATGCCCGGCAAGGGTTTTCTTATTTCTAATTTGAGTAAACTTGTTATTGTTACAGGGCAAAGCAGTGATAGTGATGATCTTCCTGCTATAGACAGTTCAAATAAATGCACCCCAGTGAAGCATCTTAGCATAGCTAAGCCACAGAAGCTGGCACGATCCCCTGCAAGAATCTCGCCTCACATCAAAGATGGAGAGAAAGAGAAGCACAGAGAAAAGCACCCGAATTCATCCCCTAGGACATACAAGTGGAGCTTTCAACTCAGTAAGACACTTGCACATGGCCTGAATGTATATTGTATATTGCAGCATCCCTTAAGCTGTTGATTTGGGTTAATATTAATGATGATTAACAAATTATATAGGCATTCCACATAAATATTCATTGTTTGTTATTATAAATATAAATCGACACTTTTTTCCTAGCATTAACTTGGTAGTATTGACAAGATCTCCAGTTAAGAATTAAAACTTGAGGGGCTGAAGAGATAGCTCAGCAGTTAAGAACACTAGTTGTTCTTACAGAAGACCTGGGTTCAAATCCCAGCACCCACATGGCAGCTAACAACTGTCTGTAACTCTAGTTCCAGGGGATCCAACAGCCTCTTCGGTACTCTGCAGGCATTGCATGACACGGGCGCACTTACCTACACACAGGCAATATATGCATACACATAAAATAAAAATAATAAATATTTTAAAAAGAAGAAGAGGACAGAAGAGGGTGGAGGAGGAAGAGGAGGAGGAGTATGATTTATATAAACCAGTGAAATGAAAGTACCCTTTGTAGTTCTCAGAGTTAAACAAATGATTACCATTTTGTCAGGTTGCTTTGTGTTCATGTTTTCTTACGGTTTTGTGATCATTTATTTAAATACACACGCTTAATATAGAAAATTTTGAATAAGAAGCCTTTATTTATTTTTTAATGTGTATGAATGTATTGCCTACATATGTGTAAGTGCACCCATGTCATGCAGTGCCCTGGGAAGTCAGAAGAAGGCATGGATCCCTGGAACTGGAGTTATAGATGGTAGTTAGCCGCCATGTGGGTGCTGGGAATTGAACCCAGCTCTTCTGCAAGAGCAGCCAGTGCTCTTAACCACCGAGCCATTTCTCCAGGCCTCTTCTCCCCCGACCCCACCCCCTTTTTTTTTTTTGAAATGGTCTCACTAAGTAGCTCTGGCTGGCTTGGAATTCCCTATGTAGATAAGAAACTCTTAGTCATAAATTTAATGAATGCATGTCTCATATAATTTATGAGTTAGATTTTTGATAGAACTGTCCTTTTTTCTCATAGAATTATTTTGTATTAACATTTTGATTAACTTTCTTTTAGATGAATTAGATAATATGAACAGTACAGAGAGAATCTCTTTTCTCCAAGAAAAACTACAGGAAATCAGAAAATACTACATGTCTTTGAAGTCTGAAGTTGCAACCATAGACAGAAGGAGAAAAAGATTAAAAAAGAAAGACAGAGAAGGTAAAGACTGTTCAGAGTCTCCACTTTTTTTCAAACATATATCATCATTTTAGCAGATGTGCATTTGTGGTTTTCAGTGCACATTCAGGAACTCTTGCTTTTCGATTTAGTGCTTTCTGTTGCTATTGGAGTATGTGTTTCTGCAGATGAATTCAGATTGGCACCTTGAAAAGAAATGTGAACTATTTTACAAAATATGTGATTTTACTAAGCATGGTTGATTTTCCAGAAGGGCTTATTTTGCCCAACAAATATTTATTGACTGCCCTGTATTTATTATGTGGTTCACCAAAATGAATTTTTAAAATGTATAGAGTTGATATCTAGTCAAACACTGGGCATGTTTCTATCCAAACTCTGCTAAGGTGACAGTAAAGGAACTTAAAAGTCCTATGTCCTAAACTTACTAGTAGTCACATTAAGATAAGGAGAAATAATTACATACCAGTGCAGTTTTAGGGAAAAATAGTGTCAAAGATGGTAATGTGAAGTGAAGCACAAAATACTTGGAAGGAATTTATATATTGCTTGTGGTAGAACAAATGATTGCAAGTAATGTATTAGTTACCTTTGCAATCTTGTCACCAAAATGCCTGAAGAAACTTAAGTCAAAGGAGTAATTACTTTGGATGATAGTTGCAGAAGTATCATTCCAACATGTCAGGGAGGATGAGGAAAAGCTGAGCATTTATATTATGGTGGCCAGGAAGCAAAGAAAGAGTATAAGAAGCAGTCTGGGCAAAATACAGCCCAAAGGACATGCCCCTAGTGATCTTTTTCCTCCCAAGACTCTGCCTTCCACTTCTTTACACCCAGTAATGCTATCTTATTATAAATCTCACAAGGGTTACTACATTGATTAGGTCACAGCAGTCATTATGATTGTTTCTGCAAACCCTTTATACATGCACACCCATCCAGAAGTGTTCTTTACCAATCTCCCTGGCATTTCTTGATCCAATCTAGTTGATGATCAAGACTAACCACCACAAGCTTCCTGCTTGTCAACTTAACACTTGAGCACATCACTTTAAAACCATAACCTTCCAGCTGGGTATGGTGGCGCATGCCTTTAATCCCAGCAGTAGGGAGGCAGAGGCAGGTGGATCTCTGTGAATTCAATATCAGCCTGGTCTACATACGAGTTGTAGGCCAGCTGGGGTACAGGGAGACCATGTCTCAGAAAGTCGAAAACAAAACCATAACATTCCACTGCTTTTCCCCTCAAAGACTCATGTCCTTTTCATAGTTCAAAATGTATTCAGTCCATTACTATTAGTCTCCATAGAGCTAACAGTTGCAATATTGTTCAAAAGTCTAATCTAGGGGCCCTACCAAGACTCAAAAGAATCTCTCAGCTTTGAATCCCTGTAAAAATAAAAAAAACAGTGTAGGTACTTCCAACATACAGTGCCATAGAATAAACATTCCTATTTCAAAAGGGGGGAATGGGGACATAGAAAGGAATGATGGAACTGATGAAGCCAGACCCAGACTCATCAGGGCAAACATTAAATCCTGTAGCTCCATGTCTGGCATCAAGGGCACATGTCAAAATGGGCTTGGGCAGCTCCACCCCTATGGACTTGCTGTTTCTAGCCCACATGGCTTCTTTCTTGGACTGAAGGGCAGTGCTCATCAATAAGAACTAAAAATGTGCATGGCATACTAATTATATTTCTAGATATCTCCCTTGGGCTCAGAGAGAAAAGGTTTTTTTGATACTTATTTTTATGTGTATGAATGTTTTGTCTGAGTGTATGCATGTAAATGATGCAGCACCCATACTTTGGATCCTTTTGAAGTACTGACCTTTGTTAGCCACCACGTGAGTGCTGGGAGCTCTACTAGGGTTCTCTATAGGAGCAGCCATGCTGAGCCATCTCTCCAGACCCCACTACACTGCTCTGAATTACAGAAGATAGACAATAGTCTAAATGTTCATAAATAAGGGATACATGATTAAAATGCACAGTAGACAAGAAATGTCAGCAAGGCCTGTAATCCTAATACCCTATGGCTGGAGGCAGGAGAATGATGATTTTGAGGCCATCCTGGGCTGCATAGAGAGACAAGGAACACCTCAAAGCCAAAAAGGGAAATACCAATAGCATGTCCTTAGGAGCCAGGTGTGGTATCGCATGCTTATTACTGGTACAATCAGGAAAATCTCCAAGTTTAAGGCCAGCCTGTGCAATAAGACCAAGACCATCTTAAGATACTAAGAACAAAACACAGCTGTGTATCTTTTGTAAACTTAGCAGCTGCTAGACTGCTGTAGAGTAATGATAAAGTAATGCTAAAGCATACACTTGCTTGTTCTTGCAACTGAAAAACAAGCAAGTCACTTGACAGCATGTAACTACAGAAAAGCTCTGAAGGTAGGAATGATACAGGGCGAGGCCGAACTGAAAGATCAGTTAAAAGACAGAAGGAAAAATTAGATCATCTTGTCCACCCTTTAAAAGAAAAAAGATTCATGTCTCCCCACCTTGGGTAGAAAACATGAACAGAACAGAGCATAGGTGGGCATCAGGATTGTAGGCTTAAGGATATAATCTATAGCTAATGATGGTGGGGAAGGGTTAAATGAAAAGTTGAATACCAAATGGCGAATCTCCCCATCTCTTTCCAACCCAAGTTCAGACCCACTGTCTCTTTGAGAGCTACAGCCAAGTATACGTTCATTCCCAGGAGGAGAGGGGAGGTTCTTCTGAAGAAATTCACCACCCTGAGAAAAATGTCATAACCTAGAAACCATCATCTGGATGCTCCTGAACCCCAAAGCAAGACCCTGGCTAATCACTATGAGATTGTTGCCCACATTGGCAAGCCCCGATGCTCAGACACAGCTTCTAGTCAGCTTGTGTTCCTCTCCTACTTCTGAAGCTACATGGCCAGACATTTGAGGGACACCTCTATGTAAACAGGAAGCCAAAATAGGAAAAGAGAAAAGCAACTTGTAAAAAAAAAAAAAAAAAGATTGTATAATTTTTTTTTGTAAAAGCACAAAAATATACTCAAAAAAAATTCAAGCTGGCGTGGTGGCTCATCCCAGCACTTGGAAGGTAGAAACAGAAAGATCAAGAGTTGAAGGCAAGTTTGGGCTAGAAAGCTGGTTCCCAAGCTCAAAAAAAAAATTTTTTTTCAGAGATTAAGGGTCTGTTGAAAATATAATAGAGGAATTTTTTGAATATATAATAAAGAAGGATACATGTGAAATTGAAAAAAAAAAAAAAACATTAGAAAGGCAAAAACATAGATACCTGTGATGCATGCCTGTAATGCCAGCCCTTGGAGGCTAAGACAAGAGGATTGGGAGTTCTAGGCCAGCCTGAGCTGTATAGAAGACCCTGTCTCAAAGAAAAAGTGGCGGGGGGGGGGCAGTGTTTTATCTTCCATTCTTACTTGTGATGCCTGGTCTTGTTTTTAGTGGTTTTTTCTCTGGCATTCCAGAGCCTATGCATACTGAACACACTACATTTAGCTAACTCACCTGCCTACTCCCAGCCTTGAGGCATCTTTTTTGAACTGTTAAGTCCCTGTATTGACCAAAAACTGACTCTACTCAATTAAGCCAAACAGAATATTTGCTAATACCTTGTTTTTCCTTTGTGGAACATTTAAGAGGCCTGTGGTTGAAATAAATGATGTTAGGAATTTATTTCCAGCCAGGTGTAGTAGGACTTGCCTGAAAAAGTAGCTGTTGGGAGTTAGAGCCAGGAGAATCAGGAACTTAAGGTCATCCTTGGCTAACCTATCAAGTTTGGGCCAGCCTGGGCTATGTGAGACTGTTTCAAAAAACAACAAAAAAAATCTTATTTCTAATTTAGTTCCTAATTTTTGGTATGTTTGTGTAACCGTTTTTGAGTCTTACGTAGTTGTATTGATTCCACAGTGTCTCATGCAGGAGCCTCCATGTCATCTGCTTCGTCTGACACTGGAATGAGTCCTTCCTCATCGTCTCCCCCGCAAAATGTACTTGCTGTAGAATGCAGGTGATGAACATTTTCTCTGCCTTCCCAGCAGTTTGCTGCCATGGACATCAATTCTAAAACCCTGAAATACAACCACAGAAAGCACTCAGCTGTCTAAGTATATCCTGTATATTTTTCAAGGATTGTATCTAGACCTTTCTTTCTTCTTTTTTACTGTTGCAAAAAATAAGCTGATTAATAATTGAAGGTTAGGCGGCCTACCATATTGGTCATCATTTTTTCCTCTCTTTTCTTTTTTTTTCCATTTTTTTGTTTGTTTTTTTTGTGATAGAGAAAAAAGGGCACTTAGCAAATTTGAATTTGTATAATAAAGCTTTCAAGTGTTACAGAAATCATAGGCAAGCGAGTGCACATGATGAACATCAGAATATCTGGCTGAATAGTTACTGCTGCACTTTCACTGAGATGTATTTGAACACTTGGTGAGTAGGGGGTTTATTTGTTTTTGTTCTTTTTATTGTTGGGTTTTTTTTTTTGTTAATTTCAATTTGTGTGGAAGCACTTGCTATGTGGAACTGCCAAAGTATATGTTCAGCAGTGTGCCCAGGTTTAACAGTGTAAATGGGACAAAATTAATTGTGAAAGGAAGCGTAGTTGGCTGAAAACTGCAGTTGTAATAAGTCTTCCACTTTTTATAGGACTTTGGAGCACACAATTATGCAAATATTTTAATGTTTATTAATGTTTACAGTGGAATTGTGAATAAGTTTTCAGTGGACTATCTTATCCCTTGACAAAAATATTTTGTCTTTTTTCTATGTAATTTCAGAGTTTTTATTTTGTTACAAAAATACGAAAATGAAATATATAACAACAATGAAGTTATTTAACAAGATTTCTAAAGCTGAAAATTTTGTGTAAAATAAGGTATTATCTTGCAACTTGTTAAATATATTTATTCAGACATTGGATGTTGTATTTTTATGTATTTTTAAAAATATCAATAAAATTGAAAAAAAGAAAATTCTAGGTTAGTTCACTCTTTGGATAACAGTAGCTGTCAGCTGTCCCTTTTGCAGAAGGTTGCATCCTGCAGCCTCTATGCTGAAGGGAGTCTGTCTCAGTCCTTCCGACAGAACAGAGCAGAGCTATAGACAGCCTCGGAATCATTAAAGTATGTCCTCATTTAGAATCTTTGGCAGTCCTAGTTTTTAACCTGTTTTACAGATCCAATTTTTGGTTGCCCTTAAGATACTTTGTCACAGTTTTTATGTCTGCTATACTGCCGAATAAATTTATATCTCCCAAAGTTGAGATGCAACAATTAAGTAAAGCAACTATGTATGCTTTGTCTGTGAATTGTTCCACAGACTGATACATTTGTAAATAATTCTTCCAGAATCGTGTATTTAAAGCAGTTTTGCATATACATTATGTAAAAAAGGTGATTTTTTTAAAAGCAATTTTTAAATTCATGTTTGTACATTGAAAGGGGTTTTTTTAAAACCTCCTTTTCTGTGTTTAATATGCTGTACAGTAATAACCTAGATGCTCTAGACTGTATCAGGACCTGATTTACAAGAGCAGAGCAGAGCTGAACACTAGTGATGGGTAGCATTTGCTGAGTCATTGTTTCTCAGTTTCATTTACCACATTGTGAACTTGTGATTCAGATTTCTTCCATTTTCTCAGAGAATTAAAAACAAAAAGTCCTCCTGTAATATAAATTTTTGTCTTTTCTTTGCAAAGCAAAAGTATTTCAATGTAAAAAAAATGGAGCTCAGTGGGCAGTATTAATAAAGGCCATGTTTTAAACATAGGCTTTATATTTTTACTTTTCATTTAAGTGATTGCTTTTTTTCCTAATGCCAGTAACTTATAGTTGCTTCACAAAGCAAAGTATTTCAGTACATTCTTCAATCTTTAAAGTACTTGTAGTGCTTAATTTTAAAAATGAAGAAACAGCGTCACTCAGATCTAGTTGGAACTAGGAAGCAACTTTAGGTGTGTTAGTGATTTCCTTCAGTAGCAGCTTGGTAAATCAGAGATAACTAAGTTATTAGTTTGAGTACTGACCCTTCTAATTGCTATAAGTTTCTATCAAAGTCTTGGAATGCAGCTACAGAGCAAATTTACACATTCAGTAAATAAATATGTAGGTGCTGTTCAAACCCTTTTAGCCGGGGACTAGAAAAAATATGAAATTAAGTGAATTCTGATTAGGCATTACTGTTCAAATATTAAGCTGATTTTGAATTTATCTAAACTTTGAATAGACTATTGTATACTGCATGTAAAAGAAAAACTATAAGATACTAATATAAAAAATGGGGTGTACTATCTACAATCAAGGTATTTAAAAAATTATATAGCTGTCTATGTTAGTATTCTGTTGTATGCTTTTATTGTTTGCTGTTTTTATTAAATTTCCAGTTTTCCAGTCTTTACAAAAGAAGGTTAGCACATTTAAAAAGATTATTATTATATATGGCATCTATGGAATTGCTTTAAAGTATGGAAATTTATATGGATTAATTTGCTCATGTGCCTTTCTTATGAGTCCTTTAATGTAACATACCTATCAAACATTCAGTGCTGTCTTCAACATCACATAAAGCTTATTGCCAGAAATGATTCACCAGCAGTGTACAGAGTACCTTCTATATGTCAGACATTATATAATTATGCTAACACTCAGGAACCACATGCGTGAATCAGATAGAGAAAGGCCTGTCTTCATAGACTACATGAGGTAAGTATTAGGTAGATCTTAGACAGTTTCCACATATAATTTTTTTTTTCTTTTTTAATTTTTGGCTTTTTGAGGCATGGTCTCATGTAGCTCAGACTGGTCTTGAACTATGTGGCTGAGTCTGGCCTTGAATTCCTGATCTGCTTCTGCCTTTCAAATGCTGGGATTACTGGCATGTGCCACCACGCTAAGCTATACCCATTTAATTTCTTTTCTTTTCTCTTCTTTTAGTTTTGAGACTTGGTCTCATTCTGTAGCCCAGGCTGGCCTGAAACTCATGGCACTCCTTCTGCCTCAAGCTTTCCCAAGTGCTAGGATTGCAGATATGAGTTGCTGCACCCAGCTTAACCCATCTTACTCTTAACTGCCGGTGTGATAAGCATGTGAAGTTACCGTGTGCCAGGAGATACCAATACACAGACCAACTGGTATGAAGACTAGGTTGGTCTGGGAGGGCTGTAAAGTGAGGGTATCAGTTAAAACTAAGCCCCAGTGAAGATGAACTGACGAAGGAAATGGGAAGAAAGATATAGATAGTATAGTGTTCTAAGCACAGGAGGAAGGAGAGATGGAAAGAAATGAGCCAGGGCAGGACCAGGCCTGAGGCAGGAACTGGGTCAGCTCTCATCACCCAACCTCCACACTTCTCCCCTTTACCTCTTGCCCTGTGCTCCCTCCCCATTCCTTCCCTGTGTCCAGAACTGTCTCAGACACTTTGCCAAGAAGCTTTTCCTTACTTGTCACCCCATAGACTATCACTCTTCTATGTCTGATAGCGTTTCAGTCTCTTCTTTTTTTACCTGACAGCTGACCTTGTTCCTGTGTGTTTCTGCCCTACTGGATGAGCAGTTCCTTAAGAGTTCCTTGGTCATAGGCTACCCCACAAAGTTCTGGCCCAGCATCTAACCCAGAGAGTCATCAAAGCTACTGCTTTAATTAAATTGAAGAAGAAAAAAAACAACTTTCAGTTGCTTTTAAAAAAGAAAAATCAGTGATCTTATATATAAAACCAGACATTTAAGATCTTGAGAGTTTTTTTGTTTTTGGTTTTTTACAAAAAGTGATAGTGTTTGGAATATTATATTGAGTATATAGTCTTGTTTAATGATCTAATACCAAACTAAAAAATAAAATTCCTAAACTGGAGAGTTATTTTCCTTCTTTTCCCTGATTGTTCTCCCTTCTCTCATCATTTTGATATGGCCACATAGGCATTACACATACTCAATTACAGGAAAGAGAGAGTGGCGTGTGTGACAGCATTTGTCATTGGTGAAGGCTGAGTGACTCTTGGATGAAGTTTGCACTAATAAAGAATTTCCAACAAATATATGCTTAGTGCTTTTGTAGAGTGTCATTTGTTTTATTCCTTTAACTCCTCCCCCCCAAAGACAGAGCCTCACTGTGTAGCCCAGGCTAGCCTCAAACTCAAAATCTTTCAGCTTCTACCTCCCCAGAATTGGGGATCACAGGTATGTTCCACTACACTCAACCCTTTAACTTGTTCTCTACAAAATCAAATGGTGTTTTCTATGTTGACAAGTACAAAATACTTTTTGTATTCAGATAGGCCAATTATGCATCTTTTAAAGCAGAATTAAGAATAGTATTTATAATTTTGATATTTGTAGTTAACATCATTATGAAACTGTTCATTTTGTACTCTGTATCATGCAGAAATCATTTTGAAATGTTATGAAAGCTTAAGGAATTTTGTGTATATAATAAATGATTGTATGTATGCATAAATAATTGGCTTTCTTTTTAAGACTAAATTACATTAAACAAGACAATCTGAGTTAAGAGTCTTGCCACAGTAGGGGCCGGTGAGATGGCTCAGCAGGTAAAGGTGCTTGCCACCAAACTTGATGACCTGAGATAGAATAGAGTCTGAAGGTTGTCCTTGTGCCTACACACACACACACACACACACACATACACACACACAGACACACACACACACGCATTATGAAATAAGCACTTCCCCAGAAATAAATAAATAAATAAATGTAATGAAAGTTTTTTGAAGTTGCCAGAGTAAACAAATAAAAATTTGAGATAATCTATTAAATTTGAATTTCAGATAATTGTTTAATGTAAGTTGACCTCATGCAAAAAATATGCAGCTTACTGGAACTCAAATGTAATTGGGTGCCCCATATTTTATCTGTAAACTGCTCTTGATCTCCTCTACCTCCAGGCATATTCCTTGTTCTTTGGAGGGCCTCTTTTGTTCTTTGATGGACAAAAGCAAATTGTTGAAGTTTTTCTTGACTTCCAAGGATGAATGAGTGTGGGAGGCCACAACTGTTTTTTAACACTAACAGTATTCCCACAGTGGCTCCTGTACTTAATACAGTAGCTATGTTTGATGAGATAGCTATAAGTGTACTCAGATTTTTCTGTGGATGGGGTACCATTCTCAACTGCCTTCAGGACTTGGCCTTTTCTGTCCCTTGTCAAACTTACTCTGCAATAAAACATAATTTCTCAGTGGCAAGAATTCGTAATTGTAATACCAGTGTAAATACTCACATACAGCTTTTTATGTAGACATGTTTTCAGTCTTTGGGGGTAAATATCTAAAAGTAAGATTCACAGATAACCTGACTTGGCTGTTGTGCATTCCCACTTGCCAGTATACAGGAGTTCCAGCTGTATTGCATCCTCATCAGCACTGCATTTTGTCAGTTTGAGGTGTTTTGGGTTATTGTTATTGTTAGTTTGGGGTTTGTAGTTTTTCCCATTTATAGATGGTAGTATTTCATTATGGTTTAATTTGCATTTCCTTAATGGCAGTAATGTCATTTGTGATTTTAAATATTATTTTATGTGTATAAAATGTTTTGCCCAAATGTCTGTAAGTGCCCCACATGCATGCAGTGCCTGGGGAGGGCAGAAGAGGGTGTTGGATTCCCTGGAACTGGAGTTACAAACAGTCGTTAGCCACCATGTGGGTTCTCTGCAAGAGCAGCCAGTGCTCCTAACTGCTGAGCCACCTCTCCAGCCTCATGTGTGAGATTTTTTTTTTAGTGACTAGCACCTTCAGCTGTTGGGAAGTATGTAAGGAAATGCAAACTCCCATGCTGGTGCACATGTAAATCAATGCATCTACTCAGGTTTGAAGGTATCTAACAAAGAAAAGAAAACAGCACACATCTTATAGAAAACCTACTGTAACATGCTCAAGGAGATTATAGTAAACTTCTTTCTAGTGTGGGTTGCACTGATCAAAAACGGGAACTGTCACTGGGCATTGGTAGTACATGTCTTTAACCCCAGAGGCAGAGGCAATGTGTCTCTATGAATTTGAAGTCAACCTAGTCTATGTAACAACTTCCAGGCCAGCCAGAGCTACACAGTGAGACCTTGTCTCAAAAAAGTCAAAGAAAAAAGGGTGGGACTTTTTTTTTTCAGTGCTAGGGAGGAGACCCTAGGTCCTTGTGGGTGCTAGACACACTGCCAGTAAGCTACATACCTCATCCCCAAAGAACCATCTTAATTGCCCATTAATAGGAGACTGGATAGATAAGAAATAAGTTGTGGCATATTTAAAGGCAATACTATAAAACAGTTAAAATAAATGTGCTGGAGGTAAATATATCAACATTTATTAAACCTAAAATTAGTAGGAAAAGCACATTGTCAAACTATGTAAAATGCATCATTTTTCTAAAATTTCACTTGCAAAATACATTGGCTTTGTGTATGTAGTTGTAAATATAAGAACTAGAGTGGGATACCAGGCATGGTGGCACAGGCCTGTAGTCCCAGCACTTGGGAGGGTGAGATAGGAAGAACAGGGGTTCAGAGTCATCTTTGGCTTCATAGTGAGTTTGAGGCCAGCCTTGACTACCTGAGACCTATCTCAATAAATAAATAAATCCCACAAAAAGTTAAAAAATAAAAATAGGAGAATGTGAAATCCAAGGTAGTGGTTTTCTCTGGAGCAAAGGGAAAGGTATAGAGGTGGGGACACAGGGTGTCCCTCTACCCCTGTGCACACCAAAGAAGTTAAAACAATGTGACAGTAAAATTTCATAAGCTGATGCTGATGCTGCTTTCTCCATCCTTTACCATTGCAACCAGTTTGAATGTCTCCAGCCAAACATGCTGAAATCAGTTCACTTATGAGGTATTAAAAGGTGGTACCAAAGCTGCATGTGGTGCAGCAAAGCCTGTAACCCCAGCACTTCAGAGACTGACCAAGTGGAACTTTTACCCAGTGATTGGGTCTGCTGTAATGAATCAGCCAGTCCATTCACGGATTACAGGCTTATCCTTAGAGTGAGTCTTACGGAAGCTGCTTTAAAGCACACACATGCACTTCCCTCCCTCTTCCTCTGCTTCCTCTTTGCCTCCCCTCTGCCTCCCTTCTCCATCTCTGTCTCACCTCCACGGTCACTACTATACTGGTTTGGCTTTCTCTTGTATGTATCCCTCTGTCACCTGGGGACTACAGAGTTCCCTTCTCTCCCAGCAAGAAGACCTTCACTAGATAATGGTCCCAAAACATTGAACCTTTCATGCTATAGAACTTCAACTGAATAAACTTTTTTAAAAACCCAGCCTAGGGGCTGGAGAGATGGCTCAGAGGTTAAGAGCACTGACTGCTCTTGCAGAGGACCCAGGTTCGATTCCCAGCACCCACTTGGTGGCTACGAACCATCCTTAACTCCAGTTCCAGGGGACTCCGAAGTCCTCTTCTGACCTCCACTGCATTACACGATATGGGTGTGTTCACATGCAGGCATACACTCATACACATAAAAAGTAAAAATAATAAAAATAAAATATTTTTTAAAAATTAAAAGGCCAGGCGTTGTGGCACATCCCTTTAATCCCAGCACTCAGGAGGCAGAGGCAGGCGGATCT